ATGTTGAGGCGGACGCCAAAGAAAACAGAAATCATGATTATCGTTCTTCCCAGTGAAAATGGACAAACAGACTCTTAACCCATTTATTCTTACTATCAAATCATAAACGTCTATCAGCATTTCGTATTCCCATATGAGATGGCTATCTATCAGCATGCACTGTACCACATAGGAGTCTGTACATCTGGCAATCAGGGAGTGGGGCTTTTGGTTGTGGGGTTTTTGCTTTTGTGTTTGTATTTAATCCTTTCTCAGCTTTGAAAATAGCAAGGCTGCCACCCTTTCTGTAATACGTGGTGTTTTAAAACCTCAACTGTCACCCATCCCGTTGCCCTTTTGATGAATTTGTGGCATTCTGCAAATGCTTATGAATCAGCATGCAGAGGAAAACTGCCTATTCGCTTCAGTTAGTGAATTTAAATAAAAGCCTCTGTGGTTATTGATTACAGCAAATACTTGCCATCTGTGTTTTTGTAGAAATCATGTCCTGGGATTTTAAGAAAGCCTAATGGCTGGATTCAGCTTATGTGCTGTAGATGCCAACGTGATCTGTGGGCAGAAACCAGCATCTCTAAGGTGTGCATCAGAGAGTTCAGGTGGGGCATCTGCCTCTGTGCATTGGCACTATGGAGAGTTTTGGGGGTGTCTCTGCGGTTGCACGTACCGTTGGCAATGCGGGGACCTGGCCAGTCTGCACCTCGGACTGTTACTCTCCTTTAAGACTGGGATAGATACTGGGAAGAGTGGGACTCTGAGGGTATCTGTGGTATGGATGCTCAGCATGCTGGGAATGAATACGGGATAAATCAGCTGTGTTTTCATGTTAAATGGTCATGAGAGGTTGTCTTGACTTGGACTTGGTTCCCATCCTCTTTGTTTCTGGTGGCAGTCATATACAAGGGGCAAAAGCTTCTACCATTCAGCTGATGGTTTTGTTTTGTTTTGTTTTGTTTTGTGTTTTGTTTTGTTCTGTTTTGTTTTGTTTCATGTAGGTGCCCAGAAAGTGTACAGCTGGTGCAGGCAGGGGATCGTTGCAGTAAGAGCTACTTGCACAGAACCAACTAACCAACCTAAGAGCCCCTAAGGTGCAGCGGTTCACTCGTCTTCCGTTTTGTGTCTTTTGTCTCTGGTTCTGTGAGCAGAATGTGAGTCGTCGTTGGGATAAGATGCCCTTGCAAAATCTGCCAGGGATTTGTGTCACAATTGACAAAGGAGTTTTGTTATATTTGGAAGGTGTAGTTATATGTAAAATAAAATTAAAAGTAGAAGCAAAGTAATTTTCCTTGTTTGGGAAACCTAAGCAAGGGTTTTTTTCAGTTTGCTAGTAGAGAAGATGACAGTTGGAAATAGTTAAATTCTGTATATATTAAGTTCTAATGAAAACTAGAGCGTAGACGAACGTCCTGCTCCTCCTTATTGCCTGAGAGGGAATGTGATCATCATATTTTGTGACTGAAGGTTTATTATTGAAAGAACAAATGTTAGCTTTTTTTTTAAATTTTATTAAACTTTGGAGTTCAACATATTGAAGTTCATGTGCATTTTCTGTATAGAAGCTGAATCTTAAATTACAGAACTAAGTACCAGCAAATTTTGTACTACCTTTCCACAAATCACTGATCACATAATAACAGCATGAATTTCTGAGGGAACAGTAGTGTGTTAAATATTTAAATATCCCCAGTTTTGTTCGTTCCTCATCTGGCATCATAGGCAGGGAAAATGAAATATGTCATATATTTGATATTTTTCCAGTGCTTTTGTAAAGACTGAAACATATTTTCTTTGGTTCATCACTGCCATTTGGTAAAATTAGGTGAGAAAGTTCCATTTTCTGTCATGAGCCAACCAAAACCCAGCATTTTTTCAGGGTCCAATTTTGAATTTTTGTTTACATTACAAATCAATGTGAAACCGCAACTATTGAGGCTTTCTGGCATGTACAAAACATTTGTTCAGCTAGAAAATGAGTGGGGGAAAACGAGCCAGCGGTGACATGTCCAGATGGGAGCACGCTGGAGTACTGCAAAGCAGAACTCCTGGCATCAAGGAATGGGCAAATACAGTCCGTCCCTGTGTGTCTGGATACAGGGTGTCTGTGAGAGTGGGCATTGTGGCTTTGTTGAAGACCACCACTTCTGAGGTCTGGATGCTTTAATGCTGATTATTTGTCAAGTGTGATGATTTGTTGCTAGATTAAAAAAAAAAAGTATTGCGGATTGTTTACCAGTAATTAATTTGATATTTTTTGAAAAGATGATTTTCTAGTCGGCAAAGTTGGTAAAATTGTAACCAGTCTTTAAATGGACTTCAGTTATTTCTAGGTACCATAGCCCACACCTGCAGCAGTAGCCCCAGGCTGCTCCCAGGTGGTTGATCATTAGTGGTGGGGAGGACTTTTCTCCCACTGTGGAACCTGTGCTGGTGGGACATCGCATGGAGAGGTTCTTAGGGTTTGTGCATTCAGTCAGGTCTGTTGATAAGATGTGGAGAGTTTCACATTGCTTTCTTTCAGTATTGTTTCTGAACAATAATGGGAATGTTGTTGTTTGGTACAGTGAGAGTTTCTTTTTTTGGAGTCCAGAATCAGTACTGACTGGATTGTTCAGTGCAGAAATTTGAAGATACAATGAGGTGGAATAGTTGATGTGTAACATGTCGGTGCGTTACTGGTCTGCTGACAGCTTCAGAGATCACATTTGTCCATCTACCTCGATAAGAAATTCTGTAAATCGCAAAGTTGAAGAGTTTTTAATCCATTATCATTTTTTACCTTGTTGTTACTGTTTGACTCTTCAGTCATCAGAAAAAAACTGTGTGTAGTTCCTTCTAAACCCAGGACCAACTCTACCATAAGGTAATACCACTGAGGTGTAGGTTTACTGCAGGGATTAACTGTAGTCTCACTGTTCCTGAATGCGTATTTAATGTAAAAGGGGAGAGGTGATGTGGGGAAGAACCTCAGTATTACGAAGCTGTTTTTGTAGATAACTTTAACACAATATTCTACCACTACAAATCTTTCTATTAGAAATGAGGAATCAGTTTTGTTCAGAGTCTGTAGTAATAAAAATTTACTTTAGTTTGCCTCAGTTTGTTTTATCTATCTGTTTTCTTTAAATAGCCATGAATTAAGCTTTGCAGCAGGACTGGTAAGATCCTACTGACTTCAGTGAGGCTTGACATGGTCCATAAACAGTGTAGTATATTTATGTTAGTAAATGTTATCCTTTTGAAATTTATCACATGATCTTTCTTCTCACCCACTTCTTTGGAATTATTAGACATAAAGCTGAAGTAGTGGCTTTAGTAACTTTGCTGGTAATTGGATTAACATCTCAGTATGCAATAATGAGGCTCCTTTTTGCTGAAAATTGGAACTTAAAATAATGCTTATCTCTCTTGTGCTTTTGAGTGCTCCTGATTGATCCTTCATTTAAAAAAAAAGTGTTACCATATAACACAGTCATCATTCTTATTTATTCAGAATATAGAGGTTTTTAGGTCATAGAATCATAGAATCATAGAATGGTTAGGTTTGGAAAGAACCTCAAAGATCATCTGGTTCCAACCCCCCTGCCATGGGAGGGTTCAGTTTCTTACACTATATTCAGAATTGTGCTTGAAAGTTTAACGGTGCTTTAAAGGATACCTTAATAAAGTAGGAGAAAAGCCTGTATTTTTTCCAATAAAAATTAACTTTTGAAATTAATTTCTTAATTGTGGAGTTTGTTTTTAAATTCCTCTTAAGAAAATCGAAAATTTAGCCTCCCTTGCAACCCAGTGTTTAAACGCGTGCTTAACTTTTAAACATCTCAGTATGTTCACTGACTTCAGTAAGAACACATGCCATGAGGCTTTTGAGAAATTCACTCACTACAGATTCTTTGAGAGCTGCTGCAGCGGGGCTGGTGCTGGGCAGAGGGAGCCGGGAGCGCACAGGATCCGTGCTGATGGGCTTTGAACACAGCCGTGTCAGCGGCAGCACCGCTGGCCAAATTAAATTTGCAGAACTGCTGTCCTTGCAAAACTCTTGAGTGTTGTAATTTAGAATAGTCATAATGGTTAAAGATTGCTCCAAAGCGGTGAGAAAGCAATTTTCCAGCTATGCCTGCATTACTGGTGTAGCCTGTTGACCACTTCCATTTCTGCCCTTGAGAAAGTTTTGCTCTTATAGTGGCCTCAGCCTAGTACTGGTGTAACACATACCGACTGTTTTGCCTGTCCACTGACATAAAAGCTGTTACTTCAGTAAATATGATCCAAATGCTTTCTGTTACAACAGGATTGAAACTAAGTCTGAATGAATTTATTTATGTTCAAAACAGTGAAGAAAAATGGTTATCCTTTTTTTTTCTTCAGGGAAGAAGTAAGTTCTTATTACTCTCCCCGTACTTTTAATTTTGGTAACTAATTTCTTCCAAAGCTGACAGAGCAACGGAAGTCTCACAGTTGCTGAATTCCTACCACTTTTGGAGCAGGCCAAGGCTGACTGCAAATGACCTTATTAGTTCCCAGACATGCAGAGAGTGGCTAGGCAGAAAGGCCTTAGGACATTGCCTAGTTGTAGATTGCTTTTTCTGAGACATATCTTCAAGAATAATACTTTTCCAGATGTGTAAGTTTACAAAGTGAATTCTATTGATATCCTCCTAGATAGCATTTTAATAGTTATAACTACATAAATATATTTGATCTGTAATTAAATATTCAGTAGGTAGTAATACATGATATAACATAATTAAATTAATCTGTGCATATAGGATATGCATTTTAACCTAGCTGCTTAAAATTTGCTGTATGTACTAGAAATGTTTTAATAACTTTTTCTTTCTTATAGAAAGTGTATTTTTTTTGTCATTTGGTGTTGATTTAGATAGTTGATTTGATAGACTGTTGTAGAACACTGAATAAGAGTTATGTTATTATGGTAAAATGGTATTAAAAAGAGTTGACTTACATTTGTCATTTTTATGACCTTTGTATTCCTTCCTTATTAGAACTATGCAGCACTGATACAGCAACAAATTAATGAGGACAAACAAAACTTGAGAGAAAAGACTGTATATGGAATCCAGCTCACAGAAGAAAAACTTAATGACTTCCGTGATGAGCAGATTGGGCAGCTGAAGGAACTGATGGATGAGGCTACCAAACCTAATAAAAAAATCACCATTTCTAAAGACTCAGAACATAAAACCTGAAGGAGTTTAAAAATTATTTTAATGCATATGGAATAATTTTGAAGCTTCCTTTTCCAGTTGACTTAAATGTGATTTCTGTGGAATGATGGGCACTGCTGATGCCATAACTTGTCTGAAACGGATGTCTCTGGCTATGTGGCTTTCTATGCAAGAATAAATGTTAAGATGGAATAATCACAACATATTTCTTTTTTCCCTAATGGAATGTGGAGACTTAAAGAATTTGGTAAAAGTAAATTGACATTTTTAAAAGAGAAAGTTGTGTTTTTTTATCTTGACACCCATTGGGCAAAACATCTTTCTGTTTGTGTATCATCTTCTACCTTAATGTGGAAAAGATGCAATTAGCATTTGTTTTCTGATGTGGACTCAGTAGAGAAAGAACAAAAGTATGATACTAGAGTGGGCTTATTTCAATGGAAAGAAACGACCAATATTAGAAACACAAAACATATACTGCTGTTAAAATTGAAAGTTGTTTTTCTTCTTGAGCTTTATTGTGAAATGTGCTTTAAAATAAAAGATGTAGTTCATTATTAAATTGATCTTGAAGGAACCACTGCACTTTTTTCAAAGCTAGACTCAGATTATTGTTAGAATCTAAAATATAAAAAAAGCCTTCATGAGTTGGTTGTGCTGTAGTGAGGATTCAAAGGCCCATTAAAAGCTCAGTATCTCATATTATTCAATATTTTATATAGACTGGAATTTGCAAACTCCTCAATCACGGATACTGTCCTATTGATAATACTGTATAACAAACATCTCTAATTTATCGGTAATAGATTAAGTCTTCACCAGAACAATATGTGCCTATTGCAATACTGATACTATTGTGACTAAAAAAAAGTCCTACATTTTTGTCTGCTAAGAAAAACCACCTCCTTTCTGTGCAAAAGACAGCTTTCATTTCATATTCCAAACCTTGTCTGATATTATTAGTTGTGTTCTATTTCTGGACCTTACCCTGTCTGCTACCCACAGCGTGTTGAAGACAACGTAATTTCTTTCCTCTTGAGGGATAACAGCTTTGACAAGTAAGCACATTTCCATCTGTCTCAAGTTGTAACAACATGCTGTTTGCCAAAGCTACGCTCCTGGACCCTAACTGGGGGCAATTTGGGAAGCAGCCTGCTGTTCTCTCCCTTACCTCTTTTCCAGTTCTTTTCAGACTGCAGGACTGAGGTTCACAAGTCCTGCTGCTTGGTCCTTCAAGGACATGGTTGGAGAAAACAGCAGCTCCCTCCTGCCCTGCCATGTCTTGCCTCAGCATCAAAGTGGGAAGCAGATTGGATGTGCATGCAGGAAGCTTGAAAATTGTCTCCGATACTGCCATTTGCCCATACCTAAAGCTTTTTTCTTTTCAGACTTCAAAGACTGTAAAAATGTAATCCAACTCCAAAGTTTTAGGGCATAAGGGTGTATTCTATTGCGCTTCCATCAGATGTACAGTAGGCACTTTTGTCACTAGATCTACTTGGTTTTAATATAAAAAACAGTGTTTGACAACAGAGTTTGTTTCCACTCCTTGATTGCTAGTACACGTGTGCCTACTTTCCAGTCAATATTGAAGCTGCTTCCAATTTATTTCAAATACTACAGTTTAGAGCACAGTTATTTTTATCAACGCGTTTAATGAAACTAGGTAGAGGTGATGTTTATCTACTCATCTATATACCTAGATAATGCAGGTTGCTAGAGGCTAAATTAATTTATAATGAAAAATTGCTATTTGATATGAAAAATTTAAACTTCTAGGTTGGACAGAGCCTTGAGTAGCCTGATCTAGTTGAGAGGTGTCCCTGCCCATGACAAGGAGGTTGGATTAGATGATCTCTGAGGTCCCTTCCAGCCTATGCCGTTCTATGATTCTGATGAGACCTAAAGTGAGTTGGAGGTGAGGGTAAACATCTTTATGTTCATGGCCCCTTTTCAAGTAAATCTGACAACTTTTGGCTTTCATTCCCAATAGCAGCTTGTATTTTGTACGATTAATATTCTCTTTTAGAACAACTCTTACAAAAGCCAAAATTCCACAATAGAATTGAAACACCTTTAGAGATGGCTGGCTTTAACACAGCTGGTGCTAATGGTAAGGCATGTTCTGATCCAAGCAACGCTTACACTGGTGGCAGGCATGGATGGTCCCACAGAAACCTTGCAGGGCCAACGCTACCACACATCAGTGAATTCTTTGATTTACAAGTCTGGTTCAATGAAAGTTAAGCTGAGGAGGACAATGGGCATCTCATCCTTTCCACAGAAGGGCAGAGTATATCTATTTGTCTATTAAGGCATACAATACTTTTTGTGGCGAATTTTTACACAGGAAAGCATCCATCAAAATGACTTCAAAACTTCAAGCAGTGTGTTATTTCAAATGGCAAAAGAGTTGCTTAGAGAAGAGATAGTAATCCCCTTATAATGAAAAATGATTACTTTAGAAATGAGTACTAAGTTTTAAGCTGTGTTCTGTGTGTGTTGGTGTGGATAGCTGTGACAGAACTAAACACTGAAAAGCTCCTAGCACCCTTAAAAGATCTCTCTCCATACAGCTTATCTGTTAAGAAAGATCTGTTCTATTTTGGTGATTGTAAATTCATTTGGCTCTCTAGAACTGAAAGAGTGATAAAATTCACTGGTTAATTTGGCTAAACCTTATCTGAGGTAGCACTTTATGTGATCACCTGGCAGCTGACAGGAGTTAGAGGGAGCTGAGGTTTAGATAGCTGGAAAAGGCATGAGCTAAAGTTGTATCAACAAGCAGACAATTTTCAGAAATCTCTCTCATTAAAAATGACCACAGTTTTGATATACAAATATATATGAAGTTATAAATCTTAAAAAGAACAACTGAAAATGTCATTCCTTCAATGTTTTATTATTTCTATGATGTGGATTTATGCTTTTTTAACTGGCTGTCTAGCAAGAGCTATTAGAATGTGATCTTTCTTGCTTAAAATAAATTAGTAACTTGTATTGGTGGTAGAATGTACGAAGGAGTTTCATTTCTCAGCTATTCGGACTTACTTCAGTATTTTTGAGTTATTAGTTGACTTTCTTCATCCTGGATACATATTTATGAGAAGCCGGTTATTCACCAATGAGTCAGTGGCCAAATTTTCATTGACTTCTAGGTAAAAATATTGAACAATTGGTGAAGAAGCAATATCATGCCTTGCCCTGCCTGTTATAATCCATTTTATTTTTTACTCTCTATAGCCAAAATAATAGCAGAGAGGGGGCTGAATCTCTCAGCAGGCTGATTTACTACAAGCATGGACAAAGAAGGTCCATGTACCTTTGAGGAAGGATGAAAGGTGCGTAACTATAAAAGGCATCTCCCATTTTAGGGCTGTCCTACTTAACTGTTGATTTTTAGACCTCTTGGAAAAGGTTTCAAGGTAAATCCTTCCT